AAAAAAAAAAAAAAAAAAAAAAAAAAAAAAAAATCTATGTAAGATAATGGCCAGATGATAGTACTTTCAGGATCTGTTCATGTTTCTATTATGAAGTCATTTCAGCAGAGATAGCAGTGGGGTCCTTGCTATCATCCCATCTTTTCTCTCCATATTTGCAAAAGAATGTACATAAATTTAACAAAGGTATATGACTTGTGTATATATTAAAGGATTATGAATAAGCACTAAAAATATCTTAAAATCACCTCCTTATGTTAATTTTGTATACTGTATCATTGTTATTCATGTAAATAAACAGCATGAAAAAGTAGAATCTCTGCTATAATTCTTCACTAAAGTAACAAATTGACATAAAATTACAAAACTGACATAAAATTACAAATTGACATAAAATTACAGACCTCATAATAAAGATTTGGACGATTAAAAGAAGCTGTAAAAGTAATACACTTTTCAACACACAAAATTTTCTGAGCATCCTTTAAAACATGGTTTGTTGCAGTTGCAGTCAGCCCAATTAGAGATGTATTAGGGAACTGCCGCTTCAAGATGCCAAGTGCTTTATAATCTGAAAAAGACAAAGTGGGACTGTTTGATTCTCAAAGGAATAAAGTAAACGACACTCTCAACGTTATGCAGAAAAATCAATGACCTCAATAACTCATCTCCATAGCTGTCGATAACAGTAAACTTGCAGTTAGTTGCCTGCCAGTCTGCCTGACTAGGTAGGCTTTATTATACCTTACTTAAGAACCATTCTTCTTGGCCACAGGTACAACTTCCTGTTGAAGAGAGGAAACATTAAATATGCCATCAAGCTGCACACTGCCTAACCATAGAGTCAAGAGATAGTGGTGTTACCATAGCAGTTGAATCGCCTAAAAGTGACAAAAAATAAAAGAAGCCACTAGCCAAAACCCTTCTGCTGTCTAGTACCATGTAAGGGTAGCAAGCTCAGAGCAGAAGAGGTTTGGTGAGAGCACTGCTTTTCACAGAATCTATTTCAGGGAAACTATGCTGAACTCATACTTGTCATACTTATATAAATCACTATCTAGGTGGTCCTTCAGGTTGCTCATCACCACTTCAGCTCTCTGGAGAAAAGTGAAAAAGAAATGTGGTAGAAATAGCTAAACACTAAGGTAGAAGACTACGATGAAAGTAGGAATCTGTGATGATTTCAAGGAGGCAACACTTGAGTTGGGTCTTAATAACTAGAAGTTCACTAAACAAGAAAGAAGAAGGACATTAAGCAGAGAGTGCAGCGTAAAATACAAATACACTGGCATGAAATCGCTTAGCACATTCACACAACAAGCAGCTCGCTGGGATAAACCATAGGGCTTGTGCTGGATAAGTCTATCATCTAATCCATTCAGCTGGGAAGTCTAAGTCCTTCCATGCTTCCTCCTAAATTACAGTGATCCAAAAGAGGAATGTGTGCAAGACTTGGGAGGCAGGAAAAACCAGCTCCTTGAAGATCTTTCTGGACAGATAGCATCACGGATCGATGCAGAAAGGCCCAGCCAGTTCCAGCTCAGCCTAGTTCTTTTCCACTCCTCACTGGGCTCTTCCTCCCAACTGCAGCCTTCACAATCAACAGCAGCTCCAGCAGACTCTTAGCAGCAGGCTCACAGGAGTGATAGCTACTTATCTGAATCAGTAATGGAGATCTTTCCGTAAGCTTGTCCATTGGCACTAGATATCCAGTTGCAGGTTCCTCTACAAGTTCTCCCGCATCACCACTTTGAGACTAGTCAGAGATTTTTCTCTAATCCTTCAGACTTCCCCACTTCCTCTTGCAATTGTGCAAGGTCTACTTCCTGCACTAAATCTCTACGATGGTTAATCTTGAGGGTCAACCTGATTGGCTTGAGAGGGTGTTATGGTTTGAGTCTGGATGTCCCCCCAAAGCCTCATTTGGTCAGAGGTTGCTGAATCTGGAATGGGTATATGATGCTGGGATTAAGGGCATGTGATTATCAAACCACTACCTGTGAGTAAGTGGTCTGACACCACCCTCATCTTGGTAGCTGGATGGGATAAAAGAGGCAGAAAGATGCAGTGAAGGTGTCTTTTTGCCTTTGTTTCCTTGCGCATGCGGTGTTGCTTCTCCTCTACAATGCCTGTCTGCCACCCTGCCTTGGAGCCAGCCTGTTACGGACTGAAACCTTCATGAACTACAAGCCAAATCAGCCTCTTCCCCTCCAACTTTGGGTGTTGGGTTTTCTGACTCAGCTATGAAAGAAAAGTAACTCACACAGAGGATTAGGAAAGCACGCTCCTGTGAATGTGTGGGTGGGTTGTGGGGGTGTGGCCTTAAGGAGTATGGTTCCTGGCCCTTTCCACCCTGGGCTCTCCCTCTGCTCTCTGCTTCTCAGATGCTGTAAATTGGGCCGCTTTCCTGTGCCGTGATGTTTTTGACTTGAAGCCAACTGACCATGGACTGACACGTCTGAAACTGCGAGCCAAAATAAACTACTTCTACTTTAAGTTGTTTATGTTAGGTATTTTATCACAGCAATGGAAAAGCTGACTAATACGGTCTTCTATCCTGTAGCATTTGTAGCAACCCTGTTTCCCTGCCTGAAACTTGATACTGTCATACAGAAAACAGGAATAAGTAAAACAATAAACAATGTAGTCCCTTGGTTCTAAGAAATTAGGACTTAGGATATAAAAAGTTATCATGTAATTTTCAAGTCAGACAAAGGACATAAATAGATTAATGTTTCAGAAATTATCTTCTGGAGGCAGGACAAAGGATATACTTGAATAGACAAAAGATTGGATAAAGGAGAACCAGTTACAAAATAGCAGAAAAAATAACAGAGAATGTCAAATAAGGACACTAAGGATAAATCAAAAAGAAAAGACTAAAAAGAAATGCACAAATTACAACTCTATGGGTCCTAGTGACTATTGCGATATGGAGGTCACAGGTAGCGTGCAAAGGAGAGGGAATGAGTCCTACACTAATCCATTCACCAATAGATAAATGTTGGCCAAGCATGTCTCAAGGCAATGGAGACAAAGCGGTGAGCAAGACAAGAAACCACTAATAGGGGCCAGGGATTTAGCTCAGTGGTGCCACCTCCTGCATCACAAGTGCAAGGTCCCGAGTTCGATCCCCGGTACCGGGGGAAAAAAAACAAAAAACAAAAATCACACACACAAAAAAGAATCAACCACTAAATAATCTATTACCAGAGTGATAACTGCTCATAGTAGGAAGCTCCCATGAGCAAAGGGAAGAATAGGAAATTAGGTACCCAGATAGAATCAAATCGCATATCGACCAACGGGGCCCAGTCGAGAACTTTGAATTTTATTCTATGTACACAGACGAACTGCTGAATAGTTTAGGTCAAATTAACATAATTTGATTTCTATTTGGAAAAGATCACTTCGGTGGCCACGTGGAGAAGAAGCTGTCAAAGGATAGACTGAAATCAAAAACTATTTAAACAGTTATCACCAGAGACCAATGGAAAGGAGCCCAGTCAGACTCAAGAGATAGGACAAAGAGAAATGGACAAACTTGAGATTCATTTTAGAGGTAGAGCTGTTGGGACTTAGTGGCAAGTTAGAGAGGCAGAGGTGTGAGACATCAAGGATGACACGCTGCCTCTTCAGTTGGTTTCCCCGGCTCCAGCCCCATCCTTCCATTTTCTGCATGCTACATGTCCACTTTGCCAGGTGGCCCAGCAGGAGATGCCATGACACTGTCTGCGGCTTGCTGTGGGCTTGCTCAGGTCCCACGGTGTCAGCCCGGAGAGGCTCAGGAGCAGCTGAACACAGCTGGCAGCTTTTCCAGCCTTTGAAGAAGCAACTTTATCTTGGATCCACTTGAACTCTCCCTGTAGGAGGGACTCCAGAAACCAAGGAACTTTGCCTCCTCACGGGTCTGAGAGCCAGTTCCCCCCAGGCACCTCATCTAAGCGTCTTAAGTTTTAGTAGCTTTTTATTGCCAGCCTTTTCTTCCTATTCCTCTAACCCTATAGACGATAGCTGCTTCTTCTAGTTTGTACTTCTATGGTATCTGAGTGTTTTACATTTTAATTATCTACTTAATCAATTTTTACATTT